CCTTCCTCAATGTTGTCTCTTTTTTTTTTTTTTTTTTTTTTGAGAGATTTTCACTGTAGGGCACGTGCGCTCGCCAGACAGACAGAGAGAGACATAGAGACAGAAAGCGAGAAATCACCCCCCAGGGGGGATGGTCATGCCGCAATCCCTTCTCCTCCATTCTCCTCTCGGGATCTTGGGCACGCACGCACACGCGCCCGGAGTGAGTTTTAAGTCACCGGGTCCGGGACACGAACCGCGGTCGACTACGTGGGAGTCCAGCAACATAGCCATTACGTTAACTGCTGGTTCCCAATGTTGTCTCATTTTTTTGTTGAGCGAAGATCGGCCATGCGGTAGGAGTCTCTCCTGTTCTTGAGCAACGTTTTTATCAAGCGTGGGGTCTGACAGTGACCTTGCCTCACTTGCTACTTCTGTTCATTTAGCCCAAAAACTGTATTGCTTGAGATCTGTATGAGTTTAATTTCTTTAATTTGGCTACTTCAGTTACAGCTGAATTAAAAACTAAGTTACATTTTCTTTTTTCTTTTTTTTTTTGGAGAGGTTTTTCACTATAGGGCGCGTGCGCTCACCAGACAGAGAGAGATATAGAGACAGAAAGCGAGAAATCACCCCCCAGGGGGGATGGTCACGCTGCAATCCCTTCTCCTCCATTCTCCTCTCGGGATCTTGGGCATGCACGCACACACGCCCGGCGTGAGTTTTAAGCCACTGGGTCCAGGACGCGAACCACGGTCGACTACGTGGGAGTCCAGCAATACAGCCATTACGCTAACTGCTGGTTCCCGAAAAAACTAAGTTACATTTTCCAAGCCCTTTTGTGGGCTTTCTCAAAACAACTTACTCTAAAGAATCATGAAATGAAGCCCGACTGGCACTGCCGGATGTGCACGGTCTTCACAGAGGATGTCTACTGATAGCCTAAGATGTGGCCTTGAAGGGCACCAAGAAACCCACTCTAACGGTTTCCTGTCTTTTAAAATAGAGAGTTATGAAATATATATATATATATGTCTAAGCAGAGAAAGCAGGGAAAGCATGCCATTTAACGTGATCTTTGCAAGAGTGTTTTTCACGTTAAGGTGTCACCTTTCTGTCACCTTGAGTCTGATTAAATGATGACGCCCTTGTTTTCTCTGGGTGGCTGTGAATTCCACTTCATTACGGCGTCTTCTAACTGGACGCTTTGGCCCAGCTCAGATCTGACACCTCTCGGTGACGTCTGAACGCTGATCTTTTGCATGCTTTCAAAATGTTAGCTTCATCAGTTTTTGCACTTTGTGGGGTTTCTGTGGATGGAGCATTTTAAAGAATACCCAGAGTAACAGATTAATGCAGAAAACTAGGACGCAAGGCAGGAGCTAATTACAAACGCTGGATTTCGAGTGGATGATTTCCAGACCAAAGAGAGTCAGGCCCTTTGAATCTGCATTTTGTGAATTACAGACTCAGGGACTTTGTCTCTCTGAGTGTTGGTTCCCCTGCCTGAAATGAAGACAGTAACATTGAACCTTGTTTTGTTATCCGCAGGAATGAACAAAATAACCCATTTAAGGTGAACACGGAGTTTCTGGGACACTGCTGGTATAACGAAGGGAAACTGAATCAAGAGAAAGGAAGATTAATGTAACAAAATAAAAGTATCTTTAGGAGTTACAAACACTCCAAGGTGAAAAATGAAACCCCGCAGACAACTCCCTGTCCATTTAAGCAAAAGCAAGTTCCCAAATGTAACATTATAGCATCTGATACTAGGACCAGCAGATGGGATAATGGTCAACTGTGGTTTGAGTCCTGGACCTGGCAGCTTAAACTCATGCCGGGCACGTGTGCGTGCCCAAGATCCCGAGAGCAGAACAGAGGAGAAGGGATTGCAGCATGGCCACCTCCCTGGGGTGTGATTTCTCCCTGTCTGTCTGTCTGTCTCGCCAGCGAGTGTAGATGTCCTATAGCAAAAAACTCCCTAAAGAAGAAAAAGAAAAGGAGCTGGTATAAAGTGAATGTCACCATTTAGTGGCTGAGGCCATTGTGCTGAGTTCTGCTTCTTATCTGGCTGAGACCGCTTCCCGTCCCCGCTTCTCCGCATGGTACTGCCCCACAAGCAACTGGCACTGAGAAGCTCGGGCTGGAAATATCTGTACTTCAAACATCTTCCTTTGTGAAAAGGAACAAGCCAGAGACTATTCTTAGGGGAAAAAAAAAAAAAGGAAAATACAGGCTTTTTTTCCTATAAGTAAGCTCAGCAAGTCTGACCGCCCCCGCCCTCCCCACACACAAGGGTTTTCATTATTCACAGTGGCAGAATACAGAGTGGCATCTGGGCCTCTCCAAGCCTTGGCCAAACTGGCCCGTTCGGAAGGCCCAGAGCTCAGGGATGCCAAGGAAGGTCTATGGGTGATGGTGCTTGGTGCAACATCTTCTTTACCTGAATGACTACATACCACTGCATCTTAGTCACTGGTAAAGTAAACATGCCCGTGGGTATTTAAAAACAGTTCAAAAGAACTTGAACTCTGCCGAGGCTGTGGCGTGCGTTACTAGCTTTGTTAGAAGGTAAGTGTGAGGTGTCACATACCCTAAAGGTTAAGCTCGGCTGTACCTGATGGAGAAGAGAAATACCAAACACAAAGAGGTCACTGAGTGTGTACAGACCGACTTCCTGCCACCAAGCACTGGGGCCCAGTGCAAGTGCGAGGGAGAAATCATTTCAGGAGAGCTGCAGTAAGTGGATTTACAAACCAGTTAGCGTAAATGCATTGCAGAACTGGAACAAGATTGGCTTGTAGTTTCAGAAAGGAAGCAGCTTGAGGCAGGAAGAAAGGATAAGGAATGGTGACGCATGAAGATGGAGGCTGCTGGGGAGCAGTGAGAGGAGGCGGGAAGGCTTGTCCCCTCCCCAGCCGTCCCCCTCAGTGAACCCCCAACCCTGCCTCTCCCGGCCAGGGCACCCGCAGCACAGTACCCACACCTCGATCAGCACACAGTTCATTCTTCTGTAACAAGGGCTTTCGGATGCTGCTCCAGGCAAGGCTGCCTAGACTGGGCCCAGGGCTGCCGAGCACACGCTCACCAAGGTAGCAAGCAGTGTGCACTCCAGAAGGCGGGCCTGAGGCAGACCAGAAGCCACTCGCTGTGAAGCAAGAGGAATGTGGGAGGGCACACGGGCTCTTTGCCACGGGAAGACGAAGGGCAGCTGAGAGGACCTGGCCTCCTTAGCAAGTACCAGCAGGTCTAGACGTGTGGCCCACAGGCCAGTGGGAGCTCAAGTAAAGGAGGTGACTTCACCCTTCCGAGCTCAAAGCAGAGGGCTGGACCGAGAGCCAGAGGCCTGGCTTTGTCACTAATGGACCAGGTGACCCTGGAGCAATCAGCTCTCCTAACCTGTCCTTGTACAGCTAAGTTGACTGACAACGGAATCACCGAGGGAACTACACACACACACACACACACACACACACATAGACATGTAGTATTTGATTACACACATGCATGCACACACATATGGACTTCATGTGTCTCCCACTCCCACTCCCAAACCAGAAGTTCCTGGGCAGGGCCTGGAAATTTACATTGGTTAAAGCTCGTGGGAGCTTTGATGATCAGCCAGGTTCGACCTTCACTGGGACTGAACTGCAGAGGCACTTCTGGCTTCAGAGGACCATGACTTTCTGAATAGATATTTCATGTGTGTGTGTGTACATTTCATAAAATAGTATTACGTATTCTCGACATATAAATATTATTTTTATATATAAATATCAATCATAATTTTACTTTATATATAAATATTAGATTATCAGAAAAGTCATGATGCATTTTTGCATAGAAAAACATAGAAAATTATGTCATGACTCTAGTGATCACCAATAAATAGAAATAAAATATTTTATTTTA